AAATGTATGTTGTAACCTGATCAAACAAAAAAATTAAGTACAGCAAAGCAAAATATCGTGAAACAGTGAGTAAATATATTCACTCTAGTAGGGTGTTTATTTACAGGTTTATTTGTTATAGGGTAACCTCTTCCATCACCAGTTTGCTGGATTGACAGAAACAAGTTCTATTTTAAAAATTCATTAGTTTTAAGCTAACTTGCCCACATGAAATCACTCCTACAAATCTACAATTCAACCATTTTTCATTGCATACTATGTATTAATAAGGTCAATTCTAAGATTCAGCTGCCAATATAGCCATCTTTTGGATGACATATGGCAAGATCTCCAACTCCTTTCAGCTTTGGAAATTTACATCTGCCTGTTCATTCAAGATGCTGTGTATACATGTGTTGACAAATACAGAAAATAGCAGATGGCAAAAAGCAAATGCTCAACATGAAGCACTGGGGATTGTTTGAAAATTATTTGGACTCGGACATTTGCCATTTTTAACAGCAGAATACTGTTTCAAAATAAATTCCACCATCTATTATGCTTAATGCTAATGAAGAGCTGTGATCAGAACACTGACAATTACAGAATGAATGTTATATAAATTGCAGTTGGTATCTGTTGTGGTTTAAACCCAGTCAGGTAACTCGTTCACTCACTCCCCCCCTTCTTTCCCTCCCCCTACTCCTGGAGGGACGGAGAGGAGAATCGAAAAGAATGCAACTCCCACGGGTTGAGATAAGAACAGTTTAGTAACTAAGGTATAACACAAATCACTACTGCTACCACCAGTAATAACAATGATAAAGGAAATAACAAGGGAAGAGAATACATCACCTCACCACCAGCCAACTGATAACCTGCCCCACCACACCAGACCAAGCACCAACCCATACCTCCTCCAACCCTGCAGACACCCAGCCCTTCCGGCTCACTCCCAGTTATATCCTGGGCATGACGTGCTGTGGTATGGAATACCTCTTTGGTCAGTTTGGGTCAGGTGTCCTGTCTCTGCTTCCTCCTGGCTTCCCCTCCTCCCTGGAAGAGCATGAGGCTCACAAAGTCCTTGGCCAAAGCAAAACATCGCTATCAGCTCTGATCCTGAGCCGAAAGTCAAAACACTGCACTGCACCAGCTACCAAGAAGGAGAAAAATGACTGCTACTGTTGAACCCAGGACAGTATCCAAGATGCAAGTTGCTTTATAACAATTAGATTTTTAAGATAATTATCACAGTACAATTCTTCAGGAGCTTAACCTCTGCTGCTACACATAAGCCAGAAAACTTTCTGTAATGACCACATAATTTGACACGAAATCTTTTAACACGCAATACACAGCTGTGCTCATCCAGCCTGTAAACTGGAATTACTCTGGTGACTGGTTACTACCATAGGACCTAAAAACACGTGTATGTAGACCTGTTCTCTGCCTGCATGAGTAATACTACTAACTTCTACCACCACCACCATCTCCAACAACAGCTTTAGAAAACCAAAATGAACAGTGTGTCAGGTATGTGAAGCTGCCAAGAGCTCTAACTTGGGGAGAGCAAGGCAGTTACTTTGTCTAGATAGGATGCACAGGCAAGACAAGAATTCCATCCAGTGCTATACTCTCTACTAACAATGAGCCCTGGATACCTAGCAAATAATACCAGGATAGAACAAACATACAGCACCTCCCTTATATATTCCACTATTATTTGGAAGTCTGTAACTACTTGAACCTCTGAATCAGAAAGAGTATCTTCTGTGTTAACATGCTATGGTACACTTTCAAGAAAGTCTTAAAACTTTTTCAACCATGGAAGCCCTTAGACTCAACATCATCTGTGGCAATAACTTTCACGCTGTAATTCATCATGACTTGACTTCACGAACGAAGATTTGGGAAGGGTTTTATCCACGCTTACTACAAGCACGCTGATGACTAAAAAGGCCAATGTGGGATAGGCAAATCCGGTTGCAAAAAGCACAGTGAAAGATCTCTCCTTGGGTGGTATAGGCGGGGCGCGATTCTTTCTGCGTTGTCTTTTCTCCTCAAGACTAATTCTGCGTGAGTTCTCAAAGGAGACAACAGAGTTATGGGGCGACCAATGTCCTGAACCGCCTGCATGCAGGCACTTCCAGTGCACCTTATCACCTGCCGTTTCGTCCCTCGCCTGTCACTACAGGGCTTTGCAAGTGTGGGTAAACCCTTCAGGCCTGCGCAGTGGACTTTTTAGGTGAGGCACAGCGTGCGGAGAACTGGCCCTACCCTTTAGGCCTGAGGTTTATCTGCCAGGGCCTAGTGAGCTTGTACAGTGACAGCAAATTCCTCAGGTCATAGGTTTGATTAGAGTATCCTTCTCTTAGATGGATGGCCTTACAGAGCTAAACAAGCTCCATCTGCCTGGGTTTGAAGTTAGAGCTGTCCTTCTCCTAGGATGGCTGTCCGAAGGCTAGTGAGACCATCCTGCTCATGGACACACTTTGTCTGACCCTTCAGTTGAGACCTGTCTGGCATGGGAGACACTACCAGAGGCATATGCCAACACTAGCATACCTCCCAACCTCACAAGGGCATGCAAGCTCCTTCCCCATGACAAGGGGGTGTCCGTGAAAGAGACAATGTAACTATGTTCTATGTATATCACCTTTTAGTGAAGGCATGTACTGTAGCTTCTGGTCACTCCTATAGCCAATGAGGTTTTTAAGGTAAAAAAAAAAAAGTGTTTAAATTCCACCATGCTTGAAAAGACTTTGACTGTACTAGGGGCTCTGTTAATATGTAGACAAACAAGTAGAGTCTGTAACAGTTCAGCTAAAATAAAGATGACTATAGGGAGACAGGATATGGTAACAGCAACTGACAAGCAGCAGATCTGCCTTGGAGAAAACACGTTCAAGTAAAGACGAGTGCCACTTTTTAGTCAAGAGATCCATCTCAGATAGCAAAAGAATTCTGATCCAAACAGCAAAAGGGAGAAAAAAAAAAAGTATCTTCATTTTCTCTTCACATGTCTGAGTTTTCAAATAAAGAGCACTAGCCAATCATTTTGAAATGTACAGGTTCTGAAGAAAAGCTTGTATACTGAAATAATAGTTTCATCTTCTAAAACTATAGCTGTAAACAGACAGTTGTAAACTCCAACTATTCTCACTTCATACATTTCAGAATAACTACATGGAAGTACAATGCTATAACACAAAAGATCAGTTTCAAGTAAAAAAAAAAAAAATCACACAGGAAAAGCACTGTTAGTTTCTGTTCAGAGCAAACAGCTCTGAACAATAATTCACATATAATTTTAATTCCCTTAGTATAGTTAGATTCATAATGAAAGAAATATATTAATTCTATTACAGTATTCACTTTAAACCAAAAGTTTAAAAAGTTTAATTCTATTACAGTATTCACTTTAAACCAAATTCTATTACAGTATTCACTCCCTACCTTAACCAAAAAGGTGTTATACACCATAGTCTCCCTACTGTTTTCATTAAGAACAAACAGGTTACTATTAATATTTGATTCACATTTTACTAGTAATTCAGTAAAGTAAACATTAGGAGATCCAAGAAAACAGCTATTTCCATTAAGAGCAGAACTAAGCATCTTGGGTTCCAAAGTGACTCTTCTGATATTTAATAGTGAGGACTAAGATTTAGATTCCGCCTGCAAACACCTTGTACATGGTTGAAATTTAAAACTCAAAGTACACAGATCAGTTTCAAAAAAATAAGTTAGTGGGAAGCACTGAGGAATAGATGGACAGCAGGATTTCTTAGCAAATTCAACTGAAGAGTATAAAAAAGGGGAAATTTGGAACATACCAGTGAAATGACCATTAAAACAGTTTTCACAGGGGCTAGAAATATAATAAATAATGAAACAGCAAAACCAAAACCCACAAAACCAATCAACCAACCAACCAAAAACCCTCAAACCCCCCCATTAATTTATTTCAACTCTAACAAAACTCAGTTTCTGACTTTGTCTTTACCTCACTTCAAAATCCCAACTTAGCACCTTCAAATCTAACAGCTCAAACCAAGCAAGAGCAGCTGCACATATACTCTCTAATGCCTTGCCAATACTGACAGTCTAGCTAGCAGCTAGATAAAGGAATATATAAAAACTGAATTCTGCTCACCTTTCTTCCTCCCTATCAGGCTGTCATTTTCAAGAAACACAGGAATTTAGTTACCTTGGGAATTCTATCTGCTTATCAAATTTATCTGAAAATGGTCAGCAATATATAAAAAAGCCCACCCCATTTTTCCTCAGAAAGCCAGGCCAAAGCATCTTCTGAGCACAAAGGCTGAATTCAGGAGAAAGAGTAAAACAGAACCACCAAGAATTCTATGAAGTAATCTGATAAAGATTCAAAATTCTTACACAGATAAAGCAGGAGCACAGGAAAAATTAAGAGAATCCACAGAACAAGAAGTCTTAATGTATGACCAAGGACATGACTCCACAAAAATGCACCAGAAACTTTCAAATAAAATCAATATTATGCTATTTTCCTCCTAAATATTTTCTATTTCATTACTGAAGAAGGAAGAGCTTCACTTTGCTCTTTGTACCTGGTCTTTTTATATTCAAGAGTTGCATTCACCACACACAGCTGTAAATATAACAGTAAAAACCACAAGTATCAATTACTAAATTGCATGACCATGTGTTACAAACAGTGACCTTTTTTGACCGGTGCACCTGATTATCCAGCATCAGATGATCAAGTGCTTGGCTCAGTTCATTCATGAATGTTTAGCAAAGCTGGGAGACATATTGATTTGGAACTGGAACACCACAACCCCTCTTTGCAAAATATAATGATCACTCAAACTCCAGAAATTTATTTCCAACTTAAACCAGCCTCAGTGAGCTGATATTATAAATATACTCACATAAACCATATTTATACCAAAAATGTGGAAACAAAACCTACAATTATTATCTTATTAGTTTATAAATTTTTTTTTGCACATCTTAAATAACAAAAGTTTACTTACTAATAGAGCAAGTCTTTGATACTTCCGTTTTAGTTCTGCCAGACTATCCGATGGCTTAGCACCCAGGATTTCATACCAGTCCTTTTGTGTAATGCTTTCAAAGGCCATAGTCTGACTGGCTTTGAAATGATTTTCTTGGCACTGTGTTAAGAGAATTTAATAAATATAATAATCTGAACAAGAAAGAGTTAGAAAAAGCAAAAATGAGTTAATGTGACAAGCTACAGGATCATGAAATCACACCTCCACCGTGTAAGATCTATAGCACAAAAAAACAGGCTGTTCCATCGCACAGATTGTTGTGCGTCATTTAAGTTACTTCATGCTTCTGATCCCAGTTCCTTAGTATATAATGCTTCAGAAGCCATCCATATGCCTTTAAAATAATTTTGTATTTGAACTATTTTGAGTCTACCTAGGTTATATATGCACTTTACATATATATATACATATATATATACACATATATATATACACATATATATATATATACATATATATATATACACACATACACACTTTTTAAAAATACTTTATTTTGAACCAGTACTTTACTGGGGGGAGGGAGGGGTTATAAGAGCAAGTAGTGACAGGACAAGAGATAACAGATTTAAACTGAAGGGAAATTGAGATGAGATCTTAGGCAGAAGTTCTTCCCTGTAAGGGTGGTGAGGCCCTGGCACAGGTTGGCCAGAGAAGCTCTCGCTGCCCCATACCTGGCAGCATTCAAGGCCAAGCTGGACAGGGTTTGGAGCAACCTGGTCTAGTGAAAGGTGTCCCTGCCCGTGGCAGGTGGGATTGGAACTGGATGAGCTTTATAAGTCACTTCCAACCCAAACCAATCTGTGAGTCTATAACCCTCCTTCATCCTGCTAGGTAAGGCAGCTTAATTTTTAAAATATTAAAGTAGAAAAGCATATAAAAAAACCCAAACAAAAGTAAATTAAAATCTATCAGTTTAGTATAAGTCGCTAAGTAAAACCTAACTAGTTTTTTTTTTTATTTTTGGCCACCTATCATCAAGTTAATGACCCAGAATTAAAAAAAAAATAAACAGAAGAATTAAATGTCACTAATAGCACTGTAATGCTTGCACTCTGAGCAGATTCACTGATACACTGTAGCTGATATATCATGAACTTTTTGACTAGAAATAACACCATCAGCACAGAAGAGCTTTTGTAAGTCTGCAGGTTTTGTAAATCATACTTACTGCAGGAAGAAAGGGTGTTGGTTTGGGTTTTTTTTGTTTTTTTTTTTTCCCCATTTCAGCACTAAAACAACTTTCTGGTGACTACAAAATAAATATTTTTTTCAAGGGATAAGAAAAATGGGTTTTCACACTTGGCAGAACTACAAGAATAAGGAAGGCACACCACGCACACATACCTTCACGCGCCTTTCCCCACGAAGATCCCCTTCGTCCCAGAGCACCCACCGAGGTTTTTAAGATCACACCAAGCCGCCAGCACCGCCCGGGGGCCACGCTTCCCCTCCGGAGCCCCACCGCCCCGCAGGAAGCGGTCGCTGCACCACAGCGGGCCCACCCCTCAACAACGGCTCCACGCCGACCGGCACGGCGGACACAGGGGTCGGCAGCGAGAGGCGACCGAAACAGCCCGCCGAGGGAGGCCTGCGAGGCCGAGGAGGCCCCGCAGCACGCCGCGCCCTGCCGGAGGCTTCCCGGCACTACCACTACCGCCACCGGATCGGCGCGGGAGGACCCCCCCCAGCCTTCCTGCCTAACTTTCCCTCCTCCGCCCATCTATTCCCGATCGCTGGCACCGGCGACTGGCAGTAAAAGGCCCCACGGCTACCCCGAACACCTACCTACCCTACACCGCCAGCCGCAGATGAAGGCAGTTGGTACTGCACATAACTCGTCCGGCGGGAAACAAACCCTTCCGAGTGCCGCCTTAGAGCCTTTAAGTTGGAGGAGGGGGTGGAGCGAGAGCGGGAATAGCGGAGCGTGTTATTTAAGGGGCCGTCTTCCCAGTTTCTCTTGGGGCAGTAATAGTGTTGTTACTGGGAGGAAATGGAGCTGTTTGAGGCGTCCGACGCCGTCACCATGGTGATTGGTAGCGCTGCGCTGGGCTCAGTAAGTGACGGCGCTAGCCGCCCTCCAGTGCTCGTTCCAGGCCCGGGGCCAGCGCGTTTCACACAGGCTTTTGCCTCAGGGATTCTGTCTCCAGGTGCGAGAGAACACTGAGGTCCCTCTTGTCTTCTCTCCTTCCTTCTCTCTCCCTTACTCACTGCGTGGGGGTCCCTTTCCCTTCGGAGGCTCCACCTCCGGGACGTACCGGGCTCGTTTTGGCTTTCATTGTTACAGCTCACCCGACCTGGGGTCAGAGCTTGGGTCCGGAGCCTTTTGGTTCCGCTGAGCGCGGAGGGAACAGGGAACGGGTCCGTCGATCCCCAGGGTGCGGCTCGGCATGGCATTCTGCGCCAGGCTCAATCTGCCTAGCTGCTTCGGGCAGGGAGGGTCCGGGAGGAAACTACGGGCTTAACCGCTTTCTCCTCTCCCTTACAAGCTGTTCTGATCTGCTAGTTTCTTTGTAGAAAGTGCTTGTCCTAAGGGGGAAGGAAGAGCATCCTCTTAATGGAAAAAACTAAGCTCAGGAAGCAGACCTTTAGTGATGTAATTATGCTTCCTCTTCCTGAAAAAAAAAAAAAAAAGAAAAAAGCTTACGCTGGTACTGGAGACTTCATATTTTGTGATCTCAGTGATTCCTCATTAGCAAAATTCCTAATTATTAGTCCAGATAAACTCAGGTCACACTATACCTTAAATGCGGTGCATACTTCCTTTGACAATATTTTTATGCAAGGTGTTGGAATTAAGCCAACTGTTTGTCAGTTTTCATAGCCTTTGAACTGGTTCAGTACAGCAGTAGCAAGGCTGGACGGACATTGATGTGAAGAACTGGAGGTGTTGTCCTGGCACACTGTTCCCCTTAACCACCAGTACAGGAAGGGTGCGGAACAATCAGAGTTGGCTAATAGACATGGGGAATTTATTTGAAGTTTAACATGGATGATAGAGAGACAAGAGACTTTCTGAGGTAGTGAGAAAAGCATTAAATCTACAAAGCTACTCAAGGCATATATGCCAGTCTGATTATTGTCTATCCTGGTCATCAATATGTTTCTACAATGCAGCCATCAGGTTAATATTTTGCCCTTCTCTGCACTGTTGCAGGTGAGGCCAAATTTGTATCATGAGTGTCCATAGCTGTCTCAAGTGAAAAACTTGCCTATGCACTGGCACAAGACATGGATGAGTCCTGAAATCATCCAGCTCCTTCTGTTGAAGTGCTGTTAACTCTGCAGCACCAGTGTGCCTAATTGTGTATTTCACTGAAGTCATTGCATTGCAGATGAGATGTATCGAGTGTGAACTAGTCTATGTAGTCCCTTTTGAAATTAGAATTCAGCTCTTGGGCAAAGGTTTTGGCATGAATTATCCTCTTTGTTTTGGCTTGTAATGAGCCCATATACAACATGGAATAGGCCCATAGCACTTAGTGTATTTTCTTCAGCCGTTGAGTGGGGCTGACATGTGAAGGAGTACTGTTGTGAAGGGGAACAAATTAAAACTGTAAAAGGTGCAGTGGGATCTTGCAGATTGATTACTACATCAGTAACAGTTTACAAATGGTTAATATCCTCTTACAGACTGGATATGTTTACAATATCCATTCTCATCCTTTATGTCCCAAATGCTGAAATGTTGCATATAGAGATTTTTTCCATTTTAACTCATTACAGGATTGGTGCTTAAACTGATTTATTTAAGGGATTGTGAGCATTTGTATCCAATAGTATAATTATCTGTAATTAGCTGTTCGTTATAAAGTTAACTATAAATGTTAAGGCATTATCTCTGAAGTCAGTAGAACAGTTTTGGAAGTGAAAAACTGATTTTTTTTTTCCCTGTGAATATTCATCAGTCCTGCCAAAGTAAAAGAAAATGGGCTGTCTATTATAATTCATGTTCTTGGACTGCAAAATCCATGAACTATAAAATGAAATCATTGCAGGATTATCTGGCCTTGCGGGTATTATAATCTCTGTGTCTCAGTTTGTCTTTTAATCTATCCAGTTTCAGAAATCACAATGTTCTGTTTGGGTTAGTCTTAGCTAATCATACTCTGGTTGTAATGGCTTTTGAAGCTGTTGCTCAATCTCAAGCTAATTTGATAATCTTTCATCACTGCAGATATCAAAATGAAGTTAGTTCAAGATTTATTAAAATCCGTTGAGTGTGTAGGGGAGAGAGAGCAGCGCGAAGGAGACTGAACTCAAATGTTACCTATTGCTTTTGGCAGCCACTGGCTGGTAAGCCAGCATACAGTTCAAACTAGCCATAAGTTTTCCTGCTTTTCTTCATTCTGACAGCGAAGCAGAAGTAAGTGATAGGCAAGTGTGGGGAACTTACTATTAAAGTCTATGATGTGTGGAGATGGACAATGAAGTCATGGAGATGTGGGAGTGCTGTTCCAGAATGGGAGGCATAGGGCCCATGTCTGTAAGAAACCAGGTTTAATTGGTTGTGTGAAGTATCTTAAATTATTATGTAAGTTTGTACAGATGCTAGGAATTTGACAAGATCTGGCCACCTAAACACAGTAAAAAGTTTTTGTAGAATAGAATTATAGAATAGTTAGGGTTGGAAAGGACCTTAAGATCATCTAGTTCCAACTCCCCTGCCATGGGCAGGTGTCGTGGTTTAAACCCAGTCAGGTAACTTGTTCACTCACTCCCCCCCTTCTTTCCCTCCCCCTACTCCCAGAGGGACAGAGAGGAGAATCGAAACGAATGCAACTCCCATGGGTTGAGATAAAAACAGTTTAGTAACTAAGGTATAACACAAATCACTACTGCTACTACCAATAATAACAATAAGTGATAAAGGAAGTAACAAGGGAAGAGAATACAACACCTCACCACCAGCCAACCGATAACTCGCCCCCCCCAGCCCGACCAAGCACCGACCCATACCTCCTCTAACCCTGCAGTCCTAGCCCTTCCGGGTAACTCTCAGTTATATCCTGAGCATGTCGTGCTGTGGTATGGAATACCTCTTTGGCTAGTTTGGGTCAAGTGCCCTGCCTCTGCTTCCTCCCGGCTTCCCCTCCTCCCTGGCAGAGCATGAGGCTCACAAAGTCCTTGGCCAAACAAAACCATCATTGTTATCAGCTCTGTTCCCAGGCCGAAAGACAAACCACAGCACTGCACCAGCTACCAAGAAGGAGAAAAATGACTGCTACTGCTGAACCCAGGACAGGAGGGACACCTCACACTAAACCATGCCACCCAAAGCTCTGTCCAACCTGACCTTGAACACTGTCAGGGGTGGAGCATTCACAACTTTCTTGGGCAACCCATTCCAGTGCCTCACCACCCTTAGAGTAAAGAAATTCCTTCTTATATCCAGTTTAAACTTCCCCTGTTTAAATTTGAACCCATTACCCTTTGTCCTGTCACTACAGTCCCCAGTGAAGAGTCCCTCCCCAGCATCCCTATAGGCTCCTTCAGATACTGGAAGGCTGCTATGAGGTCTCCATGCAGCCTTCTCTTCTCCAGGCTGAACAGCCACAACTTTCTCAGCCTATCTTCATACGGGGTGTGCTCCAGTCCCTCGATCAGCCTTGTGGCCCTCCTCTGGACTTGTTCCAACAGTTCCATGTCCTTTTTATGTTGAGGACACCAGAACTGTACACAATACTCCAAGTGAGGTCTCACAAGAGCAGAGTAGAGGGGCGGATCACCTCCTTTGGCCTGCTGGTCACGTTCCTTTTGATGCAGCCCAGGATACAGTCAGCTTTCTGGGCTGTGAGGGCACACTGAAGCCAGCTCATGTTCATTTTCTCATCAATCAACACCCCCAAGTCGTTCTCTGCAGGGCTGCTGTGAATCTCTTCTCTGCCCAGCACCTGTAGCTGTGCCTGGGATTGCTCCGACCCAGGTGTAGGACCTTGCACTTGGCATGGTTAAACTTCATAAGGTTGGCATCAGCCCACCTCACAAGCATGTTTTCTTCTTTTTTTTTTAGTGTGAGATACTTTATATGTAGGTTGGGTTTTCAGACACTTTTTGTGGGACTATTTACACTTTAGTAGGTGCTTTATTTAAAACTACATCATAGTATTGTGCTGTGTTCTCATACAGGTGTAGGAAAAGAGTTATTGAAAGAATTAACTGGACTACTGTTTAGCAATGGACCAGCCTCTTATGATTTTATTCTTTCAAGAAACAGCTGAAACATACAGACTTGCTTTTAACTTCATATTTTACTTCTGAAGCCAACTGCTATATTCCAAAGTGTTGTTCAGAGTAATAAAGCTTTGGGTTTGCTTTTTTTGTTTGCATTGGTTTTATATTGCTATATATATATATATATATATATATATATATACACAAAAGCTATGCACAGGTTACCCAAAGTTCCGAAGGCAAGTCTATTTAATGTTACTGAGCATCTAGGGTATTCAGACTATTTGAGAAATTGTGATGTTTGCAACATATACACTTTTATATTTGGAAAGGCAAAGTTATTTAGTATAATTCCTATATGGACAAGCAAGTTCCTGACTGGACAGCACTTGTTAAACTCAAGCTTCCACTGTAGTGCTGTTCCTGATACAAAGCACTGCACATGAATTAGTCTGTTAGCTT